TGTATTTCAGGACAAAACTGTTTAGATCAGAGTTATCATTCCCCATACCATGGGCTGAAGAACTGAAGAATCAAAGTAGAATTATTTTCTCTGAAAGCTTAAAAGCTGTATAATAAAGGCCTGTGAGACTGGAAATAAAGGAAGTGTTTTGAAGTGTCTCAGTTTTCACAAGCCTCTGTGAAAGAGCTTTAATAAATACAAACTAAAACGGAGCTAGGGGCATGAGAACAAGAAGTAGCATATGTCTGCCAGAAAAATCACATGAAAATACTTCTCTTTTTTGTGGAGCAAGGTCTGAGCATAGCCCAACACACATCCCACTTAAGCGGCACACTATGAAATACCTGAAAGGGGGACCGAAAGAAGACTAGATAAATATTAAAGACCCCACAGGGGTACTAATGCCCATAAAGGAATTTGTGTTTGGCACTTACTCCATGCTAACAGAGCTGGTGATGTAAACAAATAAATAGAATTACTCGAATAGATCAAATTGATAGAATTTAAATTTGTCACAAAGATACCAAATTTTCTCTTTGCAAATGGCTGCGGTCTCTGAATCACAAGATGTTCTCCCAAACCAGCAATATTAACTAAGAGTGCCAACAACTAGTGCTCCACAGATGCCTAACAAAGTACGGCATTGCCCACCATGGAGTGGAAATGCTTTTCCTCTCATTTCCTCCTAGAACTCGCAGAGTTCTGTGTTGTGGGTATGAATGTTACAACTTTAGGCCATGAGAGTAGCACATTAAACACATAAGGTTAATCATGTGTGTGCATGAAGGGACCTGGGTGAAGGTTCTGGGCACATGACACAATCTGGAAGAAGAGGAATGAGGTGGGTAGGTGTTGCTCATCAGCAGAAGCAAATAGATGGCATTTACCAGAATGACCTCTCTTGCCTAGTCACAGCTCTCTCTCTTGCTGTTTACTGGACAAGACAGCGCAGGACCTCAGGGTGACATGTTGCTGAGCCCTCAGTCATTCCAGAAAAGGAAAGCTACAGAGGAAGCCTTTAACCGTGGAGGATTTGGGAGGCCAAGAGCAGAAGGAAACAGGATGCTGCAGTGTGAAGCGACACGTTATATCAACATCCAAAGAAACACAGAGGTTCGGAGAGCTGCTCCCATTCTTGGGGGAGAGCTTGGAAGTGAGCAGAGCAACTAAATCCTGTCTGAACTGAAATCTCCTTCTGTCTCACTAGCTGGGAACCACAGTTTTAGAGTAAGGAGATTGAAGTTTGGTTCTGTGTTCAGAAGGTGGAAAATGATGCCATTTTTAGTTCTAGGAAGTTTGTAATTTGACTTAAAAGGTAGCTTCTGCATCAGAGGCAGTTAAGATCTGAGAAGCAATGATATATCAGTGCATACTGTGATTTCTTTTCTAGTACTCCCAGCTATACTGTGAGCCTGTACTGCAGCCAAACCTGAAAAGAAGAGTAAAAAGAAGGATTTCTACGTATAAGAAATTATGAAATCAGCGATGGTCATCATAGCAAACCAACTTGTTTGTACTGTTGTTATACACTCCTGTCTCAATTCTACTGCACTGCTTTGTGTTGTGTTAACTAGGTTATAGCAAGTCTAGTCTGGTGTAATAAGAAACCTCAAGTTGGCGTAGATTGAAATTTTATTTGAAGAGCCTCACTTAATCATATATCTACTGTCTTGTAAGATCAGTTCTGAAAGAGTCCTTCTGTGACGTGCTGTTTGTGATAGCTCAGTTAGTATAATTTGTGGGAAAGTAAGACAGTCTCTGGAGCATGACTCAGTTGCCTGAGCAGGCATCGTTTCTCGAAAGAGCTATTTTGCATTACTAATGGATGTGAATTTTATCTGGAAATGAAAAGCAGCTTGATTTTATACTGAATTTAGGTGGTTCGCTATACTCCATGCAACAGTTCACACTGCATTTAAACCCTTTTGCCTAATTTGCTGAACATTTGAGGTTCTCCTTTGGGAAAAACTGAGTCTGTTTCAGTACTTACTGTCAAAAAGAATGACTCTGCCATCCCCACCGCAAGGCTGAGTATGGTCTCCAAAGCAAACACTGTTGCATTCCGTACTGGCTGCCTCCCCATATCTCCAGTAGTCAGGATTATTTCCACAGAAACAAGCATAACCTGATTCCATGCCTGCAAACTTTGACAACAAAGACGCATAAGGAAGGGAGGGATAATATTTAAAGGACTGACAGCAGGATGTTGTATGAGCGAGAAAGCTGGCAGAGTATGTGTATTTTGGAGAAGACTGATAAGTCAGAGGTCCCACTACAAACTGGTTTTGTTTGAGCTGTCAGGACGCTACTTAAGATTAGTGAGAAAGGTGGAACTGAGGGCAATTAGGGTGGCCTGTCACTTATAACTGCAGTAAGCAAGCATACTTTACTCTGGCATCCTGGCATTAATAATTGGTTGTTTTCTCAAATTGTGCTGATACTGAGAGAAGGGTAAGTCCCTTGGAGTAGGAGTGAGACCTTAGACCTCCTAAAGGTAAAAAACCCCAAGGGTGGAGGGAGAAGAAATATGATAGAGAGGGCTAAGCATGTGGCCATCTTTTGTCTTTGAAAACATTCTGTAAATGTATGTCAAAGAAAGCACCTTAAATTGTTGACTTCGGCAGGAACTGATGCATGTTTGGATAGTAAGTTTATTGGAGGTCTCGCTGGTGCCAGTCAAAGGTGGTGGCTCTCCATGGTCCTTGTAACACCCCAGATTCCCTGGCACTGGCAAGAATAACAGATAGATCAATCTAAAGGTGTGCCTGAAAACACAGACCACTTTATGCACTAACTGATTACTTAACAGCTGGCTCTACGTCCTTGTCTTAATTTTGCCATATGGGAAATATTACTCTATGCTAGATCCTTATCATATTTTCCAAATACATTCATGGATAAATGACAGGTAATGAAATAGCATCGTATCTTCTTAGCAATATACCTGCAATACCTGTAGGTGATTTCTGCAACCTGCAATAATATAGACAAGATAAACACCTGGTTGATTTCTCCAGACAGAAACAATAAAAAAAGGCATTAAGTGAGTTCAGATGTTTTGTGAGACTTTTTTTACCTTGATGATGCATATTCTAACAATGTAAATTAAACAGTGTGATTTCTTGTCTGATCTTCTGAACAGTAACATTCTGGAGGTTTACTAAACAGGATATTTGAGGAATGGAACCTAAATCGTTCTAGGATAGAATTCGGCAAGTTTTATGAGACGGACTAGATACTCACATAGGGGAACTTCCTAATATTTAAAACTCGATATCTGGTATGAATTCAAAGTATCATATTTTATGGTATGTACAAAGAGAAGCAATATTATATTTTAAAAAGAAATATCTATTTATACTGTATTAATACAACATGTCAAGGCTCCGTGGTCATTACAGGAAGTCAGAAAGTTTTCCCCCTTCAGTGCATAATTTGTCCTCTGGTTTTGTTTTGGTTTTGCACTTTTCATCAAAGCACTGGAATTTAGCCATGGCTACTAGAGAGAGGATGGGGGGTCCAATATAGTGCCGTGCTAACGGCATAAAATTATCCTTCATCTACTTGTCATATCTGCTTACATAGTTGGAATTAAATCTATCACCAGCTCTGTGGTCACACGATATTTATCTTTGTGCCAGACTGACAAGGATTCATTTTTGTCTACCTAACCTCCAGAGCGCTGTATAACATGATGCAGTCAGAGAACTGTATGAGAGTTTAACTTATTTGGTCATTTGTTATTTAAGTACCCAGTGAACTCTTAACAAGCTCTTACTAATATCTTGTGTTGCAGCACTGTTTCAGATTTTAGACTTATCAATAGGGGGTTTTTTTGGGGGGGGAAATGTTGCCTTTGGGATTTTGCAGCCTCTGATGCCCGATATCACATGGATTAGCTGTTTCGGGGTTCTTTTTGAACTAGCCATCTCTTGTACAGTTGGCCCTTTTCTCTCTCAGATAGTTAGTAAACTGCTTCTATGTTACTGAGTTTTCACATAAAAATGACAGGAATGCAATGATGCTTTTTGTACTGAGCAGTCTTGTACAGTAGTCTCAAATGTCCCACTGGATTCTGGAAGGCCAATTTTGGGGATTTCTTACACATATCTATGTGCAGCAGCCACTGAAATAATGCCTTGAATTCAGAACTTCTATTTGTCTAATTCTGACAAAAATGGTCTCATCCCTATTCTTTTGGAATATTATTTACTGAGCATGTAAACTGATGTCAGCTTATCGCTAAAATGCTAATCATCCTGACACCTAAAACAGTTAACAGATCTGTCTGAGAACTTGCTCCCAGACTTAGGCTATGTTGCCTCTGGCAGCTTCCTTATTTTGAGATAGAGAGTTAGCATATATATTAGTGAACAGCAAATATACTGGCATGTATATGATTATACTCTTAAGGAGGATGATGATAGTATTATTAATGAAGTTGGGAAGAAAACTCGAATATGCATATTTTTGAATAATTAGATAATGTTGCCTCAAATCTTGTTCATAAAATAATTTTGTTTTCTAAGAATGATATTATTTCAATTATAAATGCTTGCATGGAGTTATGGCTTGGATATTCCCTGCAGCAACATACATGTAAGTACATTCAAGTTACAGCCTGATTTAACATACCTTTGGAAATCCCCATTTGCAGCCACACCCCAGCTGAGTACAGCTGGGCAGCTAACTCTCAGAGAGCTCAGGTTTTTGTACATGATTTCAGTCCCCTGAAAAAGCTTCCTAGTTAATCAACCTAGCTCATTTTCCTAGGACACCTGGGGTTTCCTAAAAACACTTTTTATTGATTGATTGATGGATTGGTTGATTGTAAAGCAGCTTTATTGGGGGGACCCTTCAATCTTGTCTCCGGAGAATTAGCACTTCAGTATTTTCCATGCTAAGAAACTGGACTGAGTCATTTTGTTATATTTTATAAATAAATCAAGCATACCATTTGGGTACATTTGTTATGCATAGGGAGCGACTCAGTGTAAACCTAAACCAAAGCAGTGTACATTTATGTATGAGGAGCCGCTCTGCGGAAAAGGCCCTGCAGGTCCTGACAGACAGGGAGCTGAACAAGAGCCACAAGTGTGCCAGGCAACATAGATCAGCAGGCCTGCACAAAGATGAGCACAGCCAGAGATCAAGGACGTGACTGTTCCTCTACTCAGCACTTGATAGAACCACATCAAGACTACATCGTTTTGGTCCCATCAGTGCAAGAAAAACATTAATTGTCTGAAGCGAGTTCAGCAGAGAAGCAAGATGCTCAGAGGGCTGGAGCACTCAACCCTGGGAGAAGAGGCTGAGGCACTGGGGCTTGCTCAGCCTGCAGAAGAGAAGGCTTTTGGGGGCCTCTCTCAGCAGTCACAACAGTGGAGCCAGGGTCTTCACAGTGATGCATTGTGGACGAGAGGTAAAGAGCTTAAGCTGAAATATGAGATGTTCAGACCAGATACAAGGAAAATCTTTTCACCGTGACGGCAGCTGAGTGCAGGAACGAGGTCCCTGAGAGGGAGTGCACTCTGCGTCCCTGGAGGTTGTCATGGCCTGACAGGATAAACTTGGTCTAATCTGACAAACAGAGTAACTTGGTCTGATCTCAGAGCTGGCCTTGCTTTGAGCAGGAGGTTGGACTAGATGACAGCCTGAGGGCCCTTCCAACCCAGGATATCCTACAACCCCGTGTGTATGTATAAAACTATATATATACACATCCACACACACATATATAAAACAATTGAGAATCAAAATTCTTTCTAGATAGGTATTGACTGTTTAGTTACTCTGACTTTAAACAATTTCCAACATAATCATTTGTCTTCATTTGCTCTTAATGTTCAGCCTACTAAAGAAGCTTGGCAAAAATGAGGTAGTCAGTGTTCTGTGATTACTTCCCTGCTGATCAGTCATGTTTTAGTGTTACATTGCCTTCACCTGTTTATATCTATTTGCTCTCTGGTACTTAAAATGTCACCTCTTTTGTGCAAGCATGCTATTTTTCCTTTAAGCAGCATCTGACGTAACGAGTTCCTGACAAACACCAGAGCTTGCGCATATTACATGTATTGAAACATGGAATTCATCCTTTTGAGCTCAAAACCTTGTTCCAGCTATGCTTTCTTCCCCCTCCCCCGCAATGTATTATGTACCAGTCTGTGCAACTGTCTCAAACCGAGCTATTTTGTTCTCGTGTTAAAATGTATACAGGTCAATTTTACAGAGTGATCAGTACAGCTCTGTATAACTTAACCTGGCTTTGCCATTTAACACTTCCTCAATACTTCAGTCAAATTTATTACATGATATACATGCACACAGGAAATATGGTTCCAGTAATGTCATCTCTTTATGGTAAGAGACTCATGCAAGCCATAAACGTGCTGATGCAATTAACTAGAACATCAAGATTTTTTCTTTCACCTTTTGGGAACATAAGTTATTTCCTTTGAATTTCAACCTGAACTCATTAACAAAGAGACCAAAGAATAGATGTGACATTGCAAACAAACCATCTAAAGCACTCAGTTCTGAATTTTCCATGTGAGATGCACATATTGTCTCAGGACTCAGTGCTATCTTCTTGCCTTTTATATTGTTTACGTCCATTCTAGCCTGCTTAGCAGACAAGCCATTAAGAGGGGACGAAGAAAAGGGAACACTGAGCTTCTACTGGGGTAACTACCACTGTTTTCTGTGATTATGCCCATCCATCCTCATCTGACATTGCTGAATTCTGTATAGCCTGTTTACAAAGGCAGAATGCCAGAACACTTTTCTGAATGAAACATCTAGCATTACATAGAAATATTACTGATCGAGACACATGATATAATCATGTGAAATCATCATCATAATGAAAAAGTCTTAACAGTAGATTCTTAATTATTGTTACAGGGAATCACTGCATGCAAATCTCTCTAGCCAATCAAGAGGCTCCATGCTGTTGCCATTTTGTAGTAGTATTATGTGGGTATAGACTATAGGTAAATTATACTCCAGATACTTGAAAATATGGAAAGTAAATATAGTTATGAAAAAGAAGACAATGTCTTTACTCCTCTAAAAATTTCAAGGAGGATTTCTTTACACAATTGTTTCCTTGCTCCATCACAAAACTCAGTTTTGTACTATGAACTTCACAAGTCAGTTTTGATGGTTCCAAGATTTAGCATCATGCTTACAGAAAACAAAAACCGGTAAGAATAAAAGGGTTTTTTTTTACTTCACAAACCATGAGGTTTGTATTAAGACTTGGATGGGCTTGCAATGTACAGTTTGTTCTAAATTGCTGCAATTCCTTTTTCTAGTATCCAGTTTCAGTGCAATGCTTGAAGCAGCTGCTGCTGGTCAAAAGGACATTTTGTAAATTGTAAGTCTGGATTATCTGTGCAAGTAAGTGTCCAAGTTTAAATCCTCTGCTCCCCACCACAGAGAAAATGAGTGAGGCTGGTTTTAAAAGGATCCTTTGTGCAGAACAAATGGAGTGGAGAGAATTTGCCTTTTGCTGGTGCCATATCCAGAGAATTTGTTAACATCTGTGGTCTTTAAAGAAAATGCAAATTCTTTCATTTTAGACCAAGATAAATTTCTTAATTAGGAAGGTCATGCTTCCTAAATAGGGCCTGGCATATTAGAAAAATAAAGAGGAAGAAGTCCTCTGAACAATGAGTATTGGAGTGTCACATGATTCTATGTTATTAATATTAGACTCCTTAATTTGTATTTAAGTCTAGGTAGAAGTCACACGACTTAAGGTCAAACTTAGGTATTTGTTTGCCTAGCTGGAAGATGTGAACCACTTGCTCACATTCATAAAAAAAACCACACTGTGGACAAAGCAAAAAATCACTTTAGATTCATTTTTCTTTGGTTTTGTTTTCCTAAATTCATGTAAAAAATGTACTTTTTCCAGTCAAAACTATGCCTATGTAAGGACAACTGCTCTGATGCCTAACCACGTAAACATAAGTTATCTCTCAGAAACAGAGCGTACTTGCACAGAAGTTAGGAGAGCAATAAGGGTGTTAATGATTATACAATAAAATGTGTAATTATGACTGTTGTTAACATGCAAAACTGGAATCTCATTTTAATACTTAGGCACATTGTAAAGAACGTGACTCTTAGGATTTCATCCTGGAGCATTCAGGAAGTAAAATTTTGGAACCCAGATCATGACAAAACCTCCACATTTTGGACAAGGTAATTAAAAAAATACACTAAAAATATTCTTTGCTTCTGTAAGATGCCAAACTGATTCAAAGAAGAGTCAATTTAGAACTTGGCAATACACTAAAAATATTAGAAGGAAGCTTCAGGTGAATAGCTTGTGAATTATCTGTTAAAGAAAAATCGAACAAAGTTCAGTTTGTGGTTTCACAGCAACGCAAAATATATGCACCTGCAAGGAATAACACTTTAGCCTGGAGCTCCCATACGCCAAACAAATAACAATTTTGTCCCTACATCCTCTCATACTGTCTTTATTTCTTCCAAGCAATTTTATGATGTGTTACACACATTAAATTAATTCCATCCATTTTACAAGCTGATTGTAAATGATGGAAACATACGTACCTTATTAAAAAAAAATCAATAACTTCCTGGTTTTTTTCTCTAGATTTTAATAAATGAATGACATATTTCTATGGATTCAGAAAACCAGCAGTACTTCATTCGTTTTGAGTGATTTTTCCTTCTGGTATTATTTTTAAATACTATCCAGTAATTCTAAGATGAGATTTAAAAGATAACAATGGAGAAACAATTCAGTAAGCTCGTCATTAATGCTGCAGAGACCTGTTCAAAATACTAGTGAGTCTGCAAATGAAAAAAAACCTATTTGGCCCTACCCTAGTTTCCGTTTGAAAATCACTACCCACTGTTATATAATCGTCAATCTCTGTTCAACAGAGATGCATGCAGGCTTAAAAAGATTGCATGGTGCTCTTACTTCGACAGGATGGAATCTCACAGTATTTCCAATATATTCCGTCCTCATGCTCTGCAATGTAGCACCATGGGCTGACATCTCCATCGGGGTTCCTGAAAGAGAAAAATAGGGAGAAAAGGCATCAAATATTCTCAAAAGCCACATAAAAATCAATCTTAGTAAGCTTCAGTATCACCACTGTTTTTGCTCTAGTACCTACTGAATATTTAACCCATTGGACTTACATAACCAAGGAAAATGCAAAAAATGGTCAGGAAGCTGAGATAACTTTGTTTATTATAGTACACAGCAAGCATAAAATGCTAGTAATGTTTAAAACGTAACTTCTTTTTTCTTTAAGTCTAAAGGATGAAAAGTTATTTCTGGACAGTACTGAGAGAGAGGAAGACTTTCAGCCCCACATCCTCTGTACAGGTTCCTTAGATTCCTAAACTTGATATTTGCCTTGGTACAAAACAGTCCGGACCCCAAGGTTTTGTACATACGATGACAAAAACATTTATCCCATAAAATCTTCTGGAAAAGACTGAGGTCTTTTCTTCCCCTTTAGTAAAGCTGAATAAATCTGTTTCAGTGATCTGATGTATCGATGGGTAACTCTTTATGTGTCCATGACTATTCTTTGCCCTTGTGTAGCATCACTTACAAATGCATGCTTAATTAGTCATTAGATTATTTAAAGCTTTTTCTGTATATATTTCAAGCAACGATTCACACCAAAAAGATCAGTTTAAGAGAATAAATCGCTGTTTTGGACAGTCAGGTTGAAATATGACCTTTTCCTGTAACTAGGGCCAACTGCAATTGTTTTGGATGAGGAAAGCCTAAGACTACTGCGCTAAAAATTTAGGTGTAATGGCAGAGCTTCCAGTGCCTAAAGAAAGTTGAAGACTACGATCAAGGAAAATTTATACTCAACACATTTTTCTTTTGTTTTCACAGTTGCAGGAAATCTTGTATTTACACCTGCATGACGGAAATCACAAGTCTGCAACTGAATTGTGGTAATGGCACGCCATATAGAAATGCTTTAAAATCCAAGGAAATTGTAGAGAAATGTGATGAACGTCTTTAGAAATCTTTGCCTTGAACCTCCAAAGTGCATACAGCTGTAAAACAGTTGAGTTTCTTTTAAAAAAAACGTCAGTCTGCATAGTCTTGTTATGGCTGAAATGAGGTTTAGTGGAACCCTATGAGAGGCATTTCCATGCTACCTCTCCATGGGTGGTCCTTACTTGGAATACTTTCTTTACTGCAACTCTGTAGGTGTAGTTCTCTTTGCTTCTGTAAGATGCCAAACTGATTCAAAGAAGAGTCAATTTAGAACTTGGCAATAACACTTCCTCCTTCTGCGGCTGAAAACACAGTCCCCTGGTGCAGCGGTGTTATCCTGAAGGACTGTTGCAGCCACTGGAAAAGATCCCAAGCAAGTCTTTTTCCTCCCTGTCGCTCACCAGTGTTTCTCAATGAGAAATAGCCTCCCCAGTCATCAGATACTCTGGAAATGCCATTGACACCTTTCACCAGTGTGCTCATCTGTCTGCTGCATGTCACAAGACTTCTTTTCTGTGCTTTCTTACTGGCTCTCCATTAACTCACTGTCTCTGTCATATTTTCTTGAATGACTATTTCTGATTAAATACGGAGAAGTTACTGGATCAACAACCAGGATTCTATGTTTGTGACATAACAATTGTGTTGAAGTCCCACATATCAATTTTGGCCTCTTTTATCCTGAAATTTAATGGTTACAGTGAAAGGATTTCAACACAAAGGTGCAAAGTGTATAGGCTCTACCCTACAAAGCCTAGAACCTATTACGCAAAAGTATCTGCCATGAGAACTGAGGGGCGGTTTCAGCTTTCTCACAAGTAGACGTTAGAGCTTTTCTTGCTATGCCCCTGGTAACTGAATTCTTAATCTCTTGGTTTAAACACCTCGGTCTCCATTACTCAGTGAGTAAGAGAAACCACTCGACATTACATGCATCCTAGATGAGCAGATGATTATTCACTACCTATTTCCAGAGCAAGTACAGATGGCCAGAAAAACTTGGCTGGTCAGTGCTGCAAAGGCTCAAGTGCATGTAACTTCCTCACGCACAACATCAAGAAGTTAAATGTTGCAGGCTGAAAAGAGCTGGCAGAGTCTAAACATCTCTGAACTTAGGTTCTTTTTTGGCTCCTAAATTCTAAAGTTCTTATTTAGGTTTCATTCTGAGTCCTATCCATAGTTATGGGGCTTTCCCTAGAAGGCAAAGAAATTACCGTGGATCTGCCGTGGTTTAAGCTGGTATTGTATCCACTGACAGTTGAGCTTCTGAATTCAAATAAGAACCCTAAGTCACTGAACAGCTCATGCTCACTGCAAGTTTTTAGCGATTACAGAACTTTTGTTAGCACAAAACTTGGAAACATAGGGTATAACAGAACCAGGCTTGTGGCTGAGGACAAAGCCCATAATGTTCCAAAGACTCCCACAGACATTCGCTACTGCTTCTGTATGTCTGTCTTGGATCAATTTTTTTATTTTCTCCACCTTCTCATTTAAGCAATCTCTAGTCTTTCTCCGTCATGCCAAAGTATAGACTGGACATACTATATGGGCTTTGGGTGAGAGCTGGGTTCCAAAATTATTCTACTAATGGTGTTTGTAGGTCCAGGGTACTGATGAAAGAACAAACCAAAATCTGTTACACATCCACGGTTCTTACATTCTTCACTGTATGACAGAAAATCTTCTAATTCTGTGTCAACTGTTTAAAGTAACACTGGGTATATAGGCAATGTTGGCAGCAATGAGATATTTCTTACCTGCAGTAGTTATGCTCTCCAAGCCCTCCCTCCCCATTGGGATATTTCAGAGTATTATAAGGATGCTCAAAGGTCTCATTCCAAAAAAGACAAGGTTTCCCTGCATATTGCGAGGTCTGGTTCTGAGTGCCACGATAGTCGGCCCCATTTGCTGTGTAACATTCTGGGAAGAAATTAAAATGGAAAAAGAGAAAGAAGGTATGTAGGTTTACTGTTTGACTGGTCTTCCTTTGCTCATCATCCCATCTCCAAGAGACATGTTTCCTTTCACTAACACGTTTCCTGTATTGTTAAGGCAACAAAAGATGCTGCCTGGGATTTAAGTTTTCTCTCTCACACAAACATCTATCAAAGAGGTTGTGATTTCATTGCTTTACTAAACAATGTATAGGACAGTTAGGTCCAAACAGTGGTTAATACAATTAACATCCATTTTCTGAATAAGCATACTACATTTTTTAATTGTTTTCCCTGCATTTTACTCATTGGGATGAATCTCTATCTTGTCAATTTTCCAAAAATGACATTAGATTATATCGGTCTGCCACTTATCAGCATACTAACCAAAACTTCATGCCAGTTTAACTAAATTTGTATATACCTCTTCTTTATAGAGTGAACGATTTTGTAGACATGGATCTTGGAAACCTTTACATCCTGATGTAGAAAAAATCAGGCATTTTTTTTCTCTGGTCTGAATTGCCTTAGAAATGGACCACCTTGGGTTGAGTATAATCACGATGCTATGACTTGCTACTAAAGCACTGATGCTTTTAGGTTAAAACTTAGAGGTCAGTATTCTCCTCGCTTGTTCATATTTTCTCCCACTTATCTTTGTTTTCCTAGCTTCATAATACTCAGAAAGTCAGAAATCAAAGCAGAGAACAATTTCTTTAATCTCTAAATATACTACCACCCTCTCAGTTGAACTACAAGTCTCATGTTGCCTGCCTTTGCTGTATCTTATTAGGACATGTTCTGATCAAATAAATATTCTTATGCATGAACAACTTTACCTTTACTAAAAATGCAAAATGTATTTGATCAAATTATGCACTGTGAGGGTGATGGTGCAGATGTCCAGAGAGGCTGTGGAATCTTCACCTCTGGAGATATTCAAAAGCGACCTGGACATGATCCTGGCAACCCGCTTTAGGTGCCTGTGCTTGAGCAGAGGGGTTGAACAAGACAACCTCCAGAGGTCACTTCAAACCTCAACCACTCTGTGATTTTGTGATTATCTTCCAGAAATAGTCATTAGAATTAGCACACCATAAATAAGTCCATCCTGATTATCATTAATAATTTGTAGCATTCACCATCCATGCATTTGTTTAAAACTAGTATTAAAATACAACCACCCATGGCAGAATTAAAACTTGTATTACACTGCTGTAAACATTTCTTTGTTCTGAGTAGCATTACCAGGGAAAGTCACAAACGCCTCCCTACTAACTGCAGGCTGAGCAATCTTCTGTTTTATCTGATAGTATTCTCTGTAGAAATCATGTAACAGCTGCAGAGATGTTCTACTGCCCTGAGGGAAAGGGAGAGTCCTCTGAAGTGGAATATGCTAATCTCAGGTGTCCCTCATGTGATGTGCCTTACAAAACAAGGCTAGAAAGACCTGTGTGGCTGCACTTGGAAGAGGAAGAAAAAAAAACACAGCCCCCAGTTTAATCCTGATATTAACAATATGCTTTTTTTGTATTCAGAAATAGTGTGGGAGAAGGAAAAATGTATTATTAAAATCAAGCCTTTGAAATTAGTTTAGTCTGAGCTCACAAATATCAAAATGGTGCAATTATACTGATTATTTCAGAGTTTTATTACACAGCAGATGAAAGCTGATGGGTTTGTGCCTTCACTGTGCATTTTCATGCCTAGGCAAGTTAGAGTTTCTGTTGGAATTTTGTTGCTGAAGGCACACAGAAGAGGAGACTGCACAGCCATACTGCTACCATCCGTTGGCAGAAAGCTGTCTGATTTAACGAAAACAAGTTTGAAGCCAACATTTCTTGTTACTGTAATTTACCTGACTGCCTTAGACATGCACATGAGCTACATATGTTTATTTGAAAATGCAAATCTGCATTTCCAATATGCAGGTCACCACATAAATTTGCATAAACATATTAAAAAACCCCAACACTTTAAAGTCACAACAGTGATGCAACTTTCTTCAATACCTCTTTTGCTTTGCAGTTAATGTAAAAGCTTTTTCTATGTCAGAGCTGAAAAACATAACCTGATGAATTTGGCAGAAAAGGGAAGAAAACATAATCAAACAGGATAAAGAAAATAACATACAGTATAAAGAAGAAGTTGTGAGAAGTGACAAACACATCCAGAAAAGAAGTCTCCTTCAACTTAGTGCTATTACTTTTTTTGTTTCTCTCTTCTAAACGAGAAGCAATATGTACTAACATTTACTCAGAAATGCAAGGAATGCTACAATACCTGAATGTAATCTGGCACACAGACTAAACTGAAGTTACCAACAGCCCATTTTAGGATCTGCTAAGACTGGCCCATACTTTAACTCGCAGTAGGGACTGCCTTTCATTTGCATGTCAGTTTGGGGTTTTTTTTAAAAAGGTTTGCTTCAGACTTCCTTGTACTAGTACATTACACAAAAGGAAGAGTCAGATCTCTCTTCACTCCTCTTAGCTGTAGCTTTTTGTTCCCAAGCAAACAGGTAGCTGTAACAGTGACTCCTGTGTTCTTTTGCACTACCGAGAGATTTGGGAAAAATATGTCAGCTGAGTTGTAGTGAAGCTCCCCTGGCTTTGTTAGCATCTAGATGTGGGGGGGGCGAGGCAGTGAGATACCACATAAAATCATCAATTATGCCACAAAAACTGAAACAAAAACTTCAAGTTATGGAGTTTAGGAGGTGTTATGAAATGAAATACGTACCTTTTTGTGTGACAGGGAATTTGCTAGGAAACTTTCATTTTGTTAATGACTAATAGTAATTCTGCCTTAGCATTAGAACGCAATCTTTTCAAGTAAATATTGGCATTAAAATTCAGGTCCTCAGTTCTACCTTTTTTTGCCTTGAACCATCAGCTTTGAGATCTGCTGAGGTATACTTTGTACAGTTTTCCATAAAATTCCTAGTAACATGGAGACAGATCTCTCGTCATATACAGTGTCTTGACAGTAAACAGCTGAATTCTACATAATCACACACAGTGACTTCACCATTCTTTGCTGTATGACAGCCAAGGCACTATCTTAACAATCTCACTATAAAATTAATATTCCCAGTGTTTTCAAGGTGCAAATTGAATGTTTCATGTGCAAACAGACCACTGCCCTCTCCATTTCAAACCCACAGGCCGCACTTTATAAGACAGAATCAGTCCTAAGAGATTCTGTCTTAGGAAGACAGAAGAGAAGAGGAGGTTAGAAACTCTATTCTTCCTTTTGTCTTGCATCACTGGTAAAATAATTCTGTGAAAAGATGAGATTAGAAAAGGTCAGCCAGATTTGTCTGCACAAAACTAATTCAGAAGAGGTCATCTACAGAAAAGAATCAGAAAAGAGATAATTGAATACTCCTGGTAAAACTCTTGGGCTTACTCAAATTCCCTGATTTATCTTTGGTAGATTATGATCACATAGAATGGAGGTGGGGGGGAAAGAAGAAACAACCAACAACTGCCATCTCTCTTCTACTGGTCTGGCACCCGCTGGATCAGACTGTCTTACGCTGGTTGGTACTTCCATGTTAGTTCAGGCTGAGCAGCCCTTCACTTGGGATCTAACTAACATCGGAAG